AAACCCGTTTATGTACACCAAAATAGGAAATTTTCTGATAAGTGTTTCTTGAAAGAAACTCACTTCTTTTCCAGCTTGTCCAAGAGTTCAACACGCAAGTGGCCCTGTACCGAGAGTTGGTCATTTCTATCGGGGACGTTTCGGTCAGCTGCCCCTCACTCCGGGCGGAAATGCACAAGACAAGAACCAAAGGCTGTGAAATGGCCCGTCAGGCGCACCAAAAACTTGCTGCCATCTCAGGGTAGGAGACTTGGCATTATTTGGTAATTCATATAGAGGATGCATGCACATTGACATACTTACGGTGGCCAAGGGCTCAGAGATGAACTCTGCAAATTTGGGGTTTTAGCCAATCACCCTGAGATCGGAATTCTCTAAACGAACTATAGTCCAAATAATAATCAAAGGAAGTATAATCATCAAGAATATTTTGTCATCTGTTGCTAAACATCTGCACAAAGACCTGTGCAGTAGAGAAAATCTTTGCTAAGTCCCAGATTCGCTAAACTATTTTTACCATTACATAAATTCCTATGATACCATTTAAAGTAAAATCCCTAAAATAAAATCTTGGATCTAATTTACTCTCTTCACTGTAGAATACAAAAGGAAAGGTAATTTGTGCCTTTGGTGGCATCGTAATTGACATATAGCATTATATTAGTTTCAGATCTATAACATAATGATTTGATATTAGTATACACTGTGAAATCATTACTACAATAAGTCGACTTTAACATTTCACCATACAAAGTTAATTTTTTTTCTTGTGATGAGAACGTTTAAGATTTACTCTAACTTTCAAATATGCAATACATACTGTACATCTGAAAGGGAAGTGTTAACATAAGAAAACTTTTTAAAGATTGGGATAATTCACAAATCTAACTAAACCTAAGTTGCTTATGCCCCCCAATTATTTTTATGTATTTGTATCACATTTTTGGATTCCCATGCTTATTTTAGGTGATAATATAGTGAGTAAAAACTCTTTTGGGACTCTATCCACTTCTTCCTGATCTCTCAATATGGGGCAAATAGTCATGGATTTTATTAACAGTTCCTATTTCCACATAAGGAAATATAGAAAGGAAAGAATTTTTATACAAATATATTAATTGTTTGGTTCAGCTTGGATATAGCCTTTTATCTGTTTATCTGTGTGGATGTGGCTTTATCAGAATACACATGCAAATTAGATCACTTGATAATGTTGCAGAATGATCACTTATAGGAATTATATCTAATTTTCCTTGAAAGAATCATTCTTTGCCATTTTTAATGCCAATATTGTGCATAGTGACTATTATTGGGATATAAAAATTAGAAAGCCATATGTCGCCTCTCTTAATTACTAGTTTACATTTGATACATTTAAAAACAAGCATTTTCTATCATGAAAATAGATAGAAAATCTATTACATGAATAATAGAGTAAATCTACTTGAAGTGAAAGAGAAATAAAATGTTACAAACCTATTTTATTCAGTAAAAGTATAGAGAAGCCTTCTCCTTTTCTGTTTTAACTGTTATACTGTACTTAGCAGGAAGTGAATCTGGGAGTGAATCGAGACAGTGGGAGGAAATTAAGTGTCTCAGAAATTGGGGAAAGAAATGCAACTGTGATACATACCAGACAAGAATGGTTTTCCCTCATTTTTAATCGATAGAGAACTAATGATTCAGAAGTAAAAACAGGTTTAGAACAGATCTTTTTATACTCAGGGCTAAGGAGTGGCATCTTTGTAAACTTTCTGTCCAAGAGTGTATCATGGGGTTATATCAGGATTCCTTTTAGTTGGAACTCAAATTGATAACATGTTCTCATCAGAGAAGGTGGGCTGGTTCAATTTAGTTTATTTTGTTATATGTGAAATTCAGGTTCTTCTAAGGTTTAGAAAAGGAAGATCCTGAAACTAATGGCTAAAAGTGGAGTTTTGAGGATTTGAGATGAATTTTATTTACTCAGGTTTGTAGCCCTTTGCTCCTTGCTTACATGTTATCTGAGGGTTGATGTTACAGGGGCAGTTTTATAAGAATTAGTGGGAAAATATGCTGTTCTTAGAGCCTTGCCAAGGTCAGGCCAACTCTATAAAATATTCTAAAATATTTGAAATGTTTTCCTCCTTAAAATAATAATTAAATACAGTTTAACCTTCTTTTTAAAAAATGACAGCAATCTAATTGAAGGAAATCCCTTTAGCTCCTCACCATCTGGGCTCCTTTAATGAAGGATGTAATTCCCTGAGCGAATTCCATTCCTCATGCTGCTAGTTATGTGGGCTCTCATTTCAAACTTGATGTGAAGCCTGGAAGGGAGGCTGTAGGATTCATTTTATATTAATTTTATGAAGCAGGTTGGGTAAGTAAAGCAAAGGTTTTTGGGTAATTGTAGAGAGGAAGTCTGGATTTTTTGAGAGCCCATTATTTGCCGGCACACCCCAGCTAACTCATGGAATAGTACTTTGAAGGAGGGATTATTATCTTTATCCTACAAATGGATCTCAGAGAGGTTAAGGAGTGGCACACCTTTGCTCCAGCCCTATGTTTGCATGCTTCTGAAATCCACACTCTTTCCTCTACATAATGCCGCCTTTCAAAAAAGTGTTAAAAAGGAACGAAGCACTGAGACATGCTAATATATGGATGAAACTCAAAAAGAAATGTATGCTAAATGAAAGAAGCCAGTCGCAAAATACCACATATTATATGATTCCATTTATATGAGGCACTCAGGGAAAGCAAATCTGTCAGAAACAGAAGTAGATTAGTGGTTGCCTAGGGCTGGGGGTGGGAACAGGGAGTGACTGCAAATGAGCTTGAGGGATCTTTTGGGGGATGAAAATGTTCCAAAATTGAATTATGGTAATGATTATGCAACTGTGTATTTACTAAAAATCACTAAATTGCACGCTTAAATGCATGACTTTTAAGGTATGTAAAGTATACCTTAATGTGTGTGTGTGTGTGTGTGTGTGTGTTTAAAGATGTAATCACCATCACCATAATTAACATTTGCCTTTCCTTGGCTTTATTCTTCGCTACATATGTAGTTTGTAGTGAAAGGTATATGAGCTATGAGGGATGGGGGAAAAGAAAAGTTGGCTCTCCAAGCATTCATCAAGCTGCAGGCCTGAGAGCTAACATCTAAGCACCAATGTTTGCTCTGTGTAGGATTACAAGTGAGGGAAAGGAGTACATGAATTCACTCATTTCTTACCAACAAAGACCAATCCCTTCCTGTCTATCACCTGATTTGGGCCAGAGGAGAGAGACAAGATTGAAGGAGGACAGAGTAAAAAAAAAAAAAAGCATGAAGCAAGATAAGTAGAAAGAGAAAAAAAAAAACCCAATGCATTTGATTTAAACAAACTACAAATGCTTCATCCCTCTTATTCCTGACCAATTGAAAACCCCCAGGACTGGTGACCACGAAAGAAGAAAACTCAGACTGTGTTTCTCACTAACTGGCATGAGTATGAAAACCATTGAAACACACACAATTGAAACACTTCTTCACAGGCCAATTACAAGTATCAAGTCCCCAGGTTACCCACACTTGTATTTGTGTCTAGATCCGCAGAAGTTTGGGTACAGCCTTTTCTTTCAAAGGCATCTGACGTTTTCTGGACTGAGGCACCCAGGTGAATCAGAAGTCTCCTCTGACTGGCTTGATTTACTGCAGTTATTGTACCTTTGCAAAGCTGATCCTCTCCCAGGTATTAAAGCTAAGAGGGGCCTTAACAATTAATTGGCAAAAATGATCCCACACTCTTTTAGCAGCAGAATCTCCCCTTCAATCGTAACGTGGAAAGCCAGAATTATAAGGCCAAAGTGATGCTGCACTGCTGTGTGAGTATATGTGTATTAGTGCCTGTCTTGGCCCTGTCTCCTTGGACTTCCTTCCCCAAATGACTTCTGAGACACCTTCAAAGAATCCCTGGGGCTCCATGGCTCAGAGAGAACTAATTTAGCACCATTACCTTGTTTTATATTTGAGGAGTCAGATTTAGAGGAATGAAGTGACTTTAGAGGCAATGTGGTCAAGTAGACATGAGGATTTTGCAGTCAGGCAGACCTGGGCAACATAATATCTTTTGTGACCTTGATGGAATTTTCCTCAACTCTAAATCTCACTTCGCTCCCTGTAAACCAGGTGTCATGCTCACTCATGTGGTTGAGAGGATTAAGGGAGCCGGTCTGCGGTGCCCAACCTGTCCATGGCACTCTGCCAGTCCCAGGCTGCTCTGAGACTGGAACCCAGGTCTCTCACTCCCCGCTCTAGTGCCTGTTCCATCAACCACATCACTTCCTGAGAAGGAAGAGAGAGGAGCACAGCGCACCAGCCAGGAGTGACCTGGAGGAGCCAATCTCCTCCAGCAAACCCAAGCGCTTGTGCTATGGCTGGTGAGCTGGTGGCTTGGATTCCTTTTCCTGCACTGCTTCTGTGATGGCTACTGCACTGTACTTTCTCCACTGCCTTCTGCTTGTGTCTACTGATGAGAGTGAACAGTGAAGTTGAAGTATGATAATGTGAGAGGCAGTACATTGTGTGATGGGAAAGAGCACTAACCCTAAACCAGATGAGACCTGGTTAAAATTAGGGACATAGGCCTACTGATATGCAAGTTGCTTCACAGAGTGGTAATTGGTAGCCTGGTACCTTGGTTAAGTACATAGACTTCAGAGCTAAACTGCTGGTGTTCACATTTTAGCTGCACCATTTACAAATAGTGTGATCGTGGACAAAGATATTGTTTCTCCTTGCCTCAGTTTTCTAGTCAGCAAAATGGGCTTAATAAGTAACAGGACCAAAGCGTATGGTATTATGATGATTAAATTAACATCCATCAAGCACTTAAAAGACAGTAAATGCTATTATTAAGTGGCAGTGTAATTATGAATACGATTTAAAATTTAAGTGGTCAAGATGCATTTATGTAAAAGTATATTTATCCATCAAATATTTTCCAAATAAATACTTTGGCTGGGATAAATTTTTGCTTATCTTAGTTTCTTACATTGTCATCTGACAAATTTTCCAGGTTGATATTTTCCAGATGGTTATCAAAAGGCCTCTTCTTTAAAATCTTAAAAACAATACGGAGATGTGAGGGTTCAAAAGTACTTAAGTTTAGAAATATTTTCTTTGTATAAATTGGCCTAGATGCTGCATAAATCATATAATATTTATAAAATCTATTCACCTCCTTCTAGTATGGCTGCGTGACACTGGACACG